CGCCAGGTTCAATCACATGCCATGGAAGGCTCACAGGCCTAGGCTGGGTTCATGTTAGACTGTGGCTGGGTAGTGGCAGTCAACATTCTTAATATCTTATCATCTCATTATCAATGGTTGCAATGTCTGTTATACATGTTGGGGCTTATCCACTTAATATTTATGAAGGGGAATAGATGCTAGGTGATGATAGCGATTCAACTTAAAAATGTCTTCTTATTTCCATCTCAATCAGTTTAAAGCTCAAGATTACAGTAACACATCTATGTGAATCAGGATTTTCTTGATATTGGACTACCTAAACCAAAACCAGAAATATCTTGGATGCTGAAACGGACATAAAACTATAGCTGATTCATAATCCTGATCTCAATATTTTTAGTTCATAAAGACAACCTAATTGTTCGCATTGACTGACGCTATAATAAGTACTCTATAAATTTTAAAAGTAGATTTGTACCAAAAAAAAAAAAAAAAAAAAAACACTGCTTTGATCTGTTTCACATATTGGGGCTCTATGCAGATTTTTATTTTAAAAAAGGAGTCTATGCTTAGAAAACAGCACGAGATCCTGCTGCCTGTTTCTTCCAGGAGTTCTCAGCCTCTCCTACTATTAATGCAGCTTTTCACACAATATTTCTGGTCCTTTGAGTCTGTAAGCTTTCTCAGACATATTCTTCCTTTTAACTGAGGTGTTTTAATTAATTCATTTATTTATTTTTGGATAGTGGTAGGACAAGTAAGGTAGAAAGAAAGTGGGAGGAGGGGGATCGCAAATACACAGACAATTTTCCCAGCCAACACGAACGAAGATGAAACACACTTCAGGATGGAAAATAAGCAAGGCAACGAGACGTGATTTCATAGGGAGCATAAGGCTCTGCTAGAGTGGTTTCCTGCTCCAGAAGCTTTGCAGCCTCATTTTATTTGGGACCAGAGCAAAGGGAGCTTCGTTTGGTTAGGAGATTGAAATTTGTCTTTGTATCTTTTCCATCTGTCATTTGTTTGCACGGTCTCTTTACTTTCCCCACCCCCAGAGCCCTTAGGTTGTATAATACTTGGGCATTTAAAGAAAAGCGTTTACATCTCTTAGGAATGTGCTGAACAGCTGCAAACCTCCTCAAATAGTAATCCCTAAAAAGCAGACAAAATATCTACGAGTATTTTTCTTACTTAAAATTTTTTTCAGGAGGAAGATCAAGAAAGCATCATACTGTACTTGAGAGGGAATGATTCTGGAGTCAAAAGAAAGGAGACCTGGAAAGGCACATGCTGCCTGTACATCTGCAGAAGACATTATCACTATAAATGCACTGAACGAGATAAACCGGCACAGCTGAATCATTGGCTTCAAAGAAATTAGCCCAGCTTTTCTCCCTCAGCTTGGACTATTTATGGACGTTCAACAGACTTAGCAACAAATGCTTTCAGGGACTTCTCTAAAATATCCATGGTAAAGAGCCAAGTCCATAAAGGTCCAAGTTGGCCTCTCCATTATGGTTCTTTTTTTTTTCCATGTCCCCTCTGTTTGGTCTTGACCATGTCATCTATAAAATGGACACGTCCCCTGTTGGTGTGCATCGTACTCCTTAAAGATCTTCAAAGTATGGTTGTAAAATCCTGGATGCTCTCCTTCATTCCATTTAGACTACAGTTTCAAAACATCAAGTATTTTATTTTTTTCCTCCTTTTCATTGTTGTTATGAGCCATGTAAGGGGCCTCATTGTCCCAGGGACAGGTATTTGGGAGGGGGAGATCTTTCTGGATATCCTTTCTTCTCAGTGACTTATTGCTACTTGGCATACTTAAGTACAGTTTGCTAGCCAGGAGGAGTTTCTGGCTATAGATCAAGTTCTCTGCTCATTCCTCGTGCCAGGGAGATGCTTGCCTTAAGGGGGTGGTTACTGCTGTGATAATAAATGTGTGGATGTCTGAGTGACATCATTCCACTTTGGGACAGACAAGTATTTACTTCTCTAGAATGAACTACCACGGGTGAGACAGACTATCTGCCTCAGTCATCTCCCAAGGTTTCATTTATTTTAAAAATCTGCAAAGACATCTGCGTGTATTTTTATTATTTTTTTTTTCTCTGTATGTTTGTCATGTGCTATAATTACTTATGGGGCTTCTCGTGACATCTTAATTAACTAGAGAAGAAAAAAACGAAGATATAATTGCAGAGTTGTTCACAGGTTTTTCTATGGAATTTGTGGATCCAACTGTCACATGATATCAGTGGTTACGAATTCTTTTTGTTTGTTTGTTTGTTTAAAATGTTAACATTTCAACATGTATTGATTAATTCCTGTAAAATACAGAAAGTGCAATGTCACCAAATGTGCATTTCCTGGGATTCATTTTAGAATTCATGTGAAAATTTAATAATAGTATTTCAGTTAATTATGGCATTTGAGAAAAGATACTTATGGGGAAAGATCACATAAACGTGCTTTGGGGTGATACGTTAAAAAAACTACAATAATTAGAAGTATTGCCTTAACATTTCTAAAATCACATAAAAATGATCATCTTTGATTGCCATTTCAATAATTTTGGATACAGCGTATATTATTTTCTGCTCACTAGTAATCAAAACACATAAAACAGACTTGTAACAAATATTCAGAGTCGATTACTTTCATAAGCTAAACATTTCCAAGACTTTAAGATTTGTGTTTGAGCATACAGTACTGCAATGTTGGCTATATAAAGTTAAAAAATCTTTTTTAGAGGAAGCTCAATAATCAGAGGCTGCATTGCATTTAAGGATTTAACACTGGCTATATACAGAAGGGAAAGCATTTCAGTGAGAAATACTTCACATGGCCTTTAACATGGCAACATTCAGCAGCTTACGCTACTGTTTTATCCTTTGGTTCCCAGTGACTGGCAATGCAGTAACGATGCCTCTGGTTTTAGTTCCTCTTGGATGGCATTTATTAGCAGAGAGAGAGAGCTGATTCTTTAGCTGACACTTGGCAGCCCAAGAAGTGCACCAACTGCTCCAAAGTATCCTTCATGTTCTAGAAACAATGCTTTCAGTTGACCTTTTGACCAATAATCCAGTGCATGTGCCAAAAGTTTCATTGAGATGGTATCGACACGTAAAAATTTCCAACAAAGACAACTCTGTTTATTTTCTCATTAGCAGCACGCATTCGTGCCACAGAACCAATGTTATTGGTGGTAGTAACTAAAGCAGCTCTTGCCAGGTCTTCTTTACTAAGAGATTCTCGCTTCTCCTTATAAATCATATTCCCAAAACCAGATGCTACAGCCCAACCTGGCAAATCATATCTTTCATAATCTCCTCCGTAAATATCACGGACCAGCTTGTCAGCTTGTGTGCTGTCACCTTTGGATGCCATTTCAAGAGCCTCTTCAAAACTTTCACAGCCAGTCAA